TATATATATATATTCGTTTTTTTGAGTTTTTAGTAAAAATAATTTCAATCTTTTCTAGTTTTTACAACAAAAAAATATTTTTCGTGTATGGAAAATGAGTCTTTTTAATTAATTAGGAGATATTTAGAATAGAACAACAGGACGATAACACGTGTCCCTCCGTTTAAATGAGGGGTATATTTGAACCCAAAGTATGACTGCAGGGGTATAGATAACCCAGTAGTATAATGAGGGGTATTCTTAAACCATTTTCGAAAGTAGATGGGTATATTTGGCCCTTTGCCGTATTATAAATATAAGAGACTTATCTTTTTTTAACAATTATTTGAGCTGTACTGAAGTCAGAAACAAACCTCAGCTCATTTGATTGTCTGAACCTGGTTCGAGAATTGAAAATATTCGTAACCACTGATAAGATTGAAGGTTTATCCAAAACCATTTAAATTAGGAGAACTTGCTCTATTATTATGAGCTAAAGTAAACTTTAGGAATAAATATGATTAATCAAAGATTGAATAGCACACTGACAGTCTGACACGAGTCTATGGTTAGATCATCATTATTGAGACTCTATATGGATATTGTTATATGAATCATTAAAAACTGCATGCCTGCATCTTGTAACTTGTTAAGTCCATATCAACTTTAAAATATTAGATTATTATAGAGCACCTTCATTCATATTTGTTAACTTTGCAAAATCAAGGGTGATTGAAGGATTCATTAAGGGAGGTTATGGTTCGAGAAGCTTCTCGTTAGAGAAGACTAAGATCAAAAGAAACAAATGAAGAATGAAAATGAGTCGGTCCCCTCATTAGAGTTGGGCCTACTTTTTTATATACACAATCCGATAACCCGGTCCACTACTTTACAAATATCAGTTCACCACCCAAAACTAAAGAAAAGAATGACTATTCTATTAAGAGAAACTTTGTTACAAATAAATATTTTGGGCGAGAAGCCAAATACTCATGTTCTCGATTTTGGGCCTGAAGCCAAATACTCAGAAAGCCCAACACCCCTTTCAAGTTGAAGGGGGAAAACCACCTTCAACTTGCCCAGAAATGAATGATGGAGAGCACTAAGCAATGGTTTGGTAAACACATCCGCAAGTTGGTGAGCAGTGGGCACATGATGTAATTGAATCATCCCTTCAAGCAACTTAGTCTAGATGAAGTGACAATCCACCTCGATGTACTAGGTACGTTCGTGAAACATTGGGTTCCTGGCTATGTGAATGGCTGCTAAATTATTACAAAAAACAGGAATAGGATATGAAACAGGGACATCGATATCATGCAACAATCTGGATAACCATGTTAGTTCAGCAACTACTTTGCTAACAGCACGATATTCAGCTTCAACCGAAGACAGAGAAACCACTGGTTGCTTCTTAGATTTCCACCCAATAAGACTATTACTCAGGAAGATGCAGAAACCAGCGACAGATTTGCGTGTGTCTAGACAGGCAGCCCAATCACTGTCTGAGTAGTCATGCACAGAAAGATCAGAAGAATCAGAATAAAACAAGCCAACACCAATAGTACCCTTGAGGTATCGAAGCAAGTGAAGGGCAACAACCACAAGAGGAAGTCTAGGAGTCTTCAAAAATTGACTCAAGTGTTAAACTCCAAAAGAAATTGTGTGTGTCAAAAAAAGTAACTTGCCAACAAGACTTTTATACTTTTCTGGATTAGGCAGAACATTACCAACATCAGCATGTAATTTGTTATTCAATCCCAAATGGCTAACCACAGTACTCACTTCTGAACAGTTATACTTCTTTAACAAATCAGTAACAAACTTCTATTGATTAAGGACAACACCCACATAAAACACTAACTTCAATTCCCCAAAAAATAATGTAAGAACCCCAAATCTTTAATCTTGAACTCATTATCTAGAAAATATTTCAAAGTAGTAATTTCATGTGAGTCATGACCTGTGAGGATTATGTCCTCAACATACACTGCTAAAATTATTAGATGACCAGGAGACCCTTTAATGAATAAAGAATAGTTACTAAGGGAATGATTGTACCCCATAGAACAAAGAGCATGAGACAATTTAGCATAACAATGTCTTGAAACTTGACTCAACCCATGAAGGGACTTCCTTAGTTTGTAAACTAAGGGAGCAGAAGTGGAAGTAGAAGGAGCAGAAGAAAAAGAAAGGCTAGGAGGCAGTTTTATGTAGACCTCTTCATCCAAGTCACCATGAAGGAATGCATTATTAACATCAAGTATGAATAAAGGCCACTTTTTCTTAACTGCAACAACAATAAGGCATTTAACAGTAGATAATTTCACGACAGGCGATAAGGTTTCATTAAAGTTCACCCCTTCAACTTGTGTATCCCCTCGAATAACAAGCCTAGCTTTGTATCTCTCTACACTACCATCAGCCTTATACAGTCATACCTCTCTATAACAACATCCCTATATAACAACATCCCTATATAACAATACTTCACTATAAAAGCCAA